GGGGGTGAGTTTCAGTTTATTTCAAAATTTCAATTTTATTTTTGCTTTTTGAATACGAATGAATGATTTTGAATAATAATCCCTTGAATAATAAGCTAAATATCAAGCTATCGCAAGACAGAATCGCAAACTTGATCCATTTTTTTCGGGGGAATTTTGTTTTCAATTTTCCAAAAAAAGATACATTCCGTATTTTTATTGACCCGTCCATTTTAATAATAATGTTGATTCGTAATTTTCCCCATTGAAATGAAATCGTTTTTCAATTTTCTTTTTCAATTTTATCGTCATCTATGTTTTTTTCTTTGGATTTTTGATTTTGATTTTCAAATCGAAACATTAAATTAGACACATGGAATCTTTCATAGATTTTCAATGATTGATCCATTTCTATTTGAAAAAAAAGATTGCTTGAGCCGGACGCCATTTAGAGAAAATGTAGAAAATTGAAAAAAAATTGCTTTCATTTAGTTATCAAATCGATTTGTAGTCGTCACGAATGAACGATTTTAAATCATAAAACATTTTATCGATATTTATTTAAATTTTGGAATTCCGTAAAAAAAATTGGTCCATCTATACTGCTATCTGATCTCATCACATTTGTTTTCATCTACAATATTGCATCGAGTTTTTTTGGAGGGGATCTTGAAATCAAAGGAAATCGGGTATTACACCTCGTTCGACAAAATATAATGATGGAAATAGCAAAGAACTTGATCGAAGAAAAATTTTTTCATTTCAAACCAAAATCCATACACATCTATTTGTGTAATTCATTTGCCATTCATTCATGAACATGATCACATTGCATTGATTTTGACTATTTTTCTTTTTTTTTGCATCATCAGACTAATCATAATAAATTGGTCTCGAAATATAATGATTTACAATCAACAGTAACGGCAGAAAGACAAGAAAGAAGAGGAAGGAGAAAGTATCCGAAATCATGATCATTATTCAAGATGAATGTGGTAAATTGAAAAAAATAAAACACATCCAAATGTTATTCAGATTGTATTCGTCGTCATCGTCATAAAAAAAAGATTCAAAAGAATTTCAATCCAATTCCCGTGATGCAATCACGTATATAAACAATTTCAATCCATTATCAATGTTCATTTGAATTTTTTTTTGACTTTTAATCTACTTCGGTAATATTAATTCTTTTTTTCTTGTTTCACTATTTCAAAAGAAATTCATTTTCCATTTTGATACAAAGTGAATGATCTGTTGTCGTTGTTGTGCAACTTCGATCAACGATGATAAATAATTCAATATCATCGATGGCAGAAGGAGCCACTGCCACATATGAATGGTTGATTTTTTCTTCTTTAAACTTGGAGAATTTTTTTACAAATCGATGTTCAGATCACTTATTAACATTACACAATGAAAACAAAGTATGGCAATTATAAAACAAAACAAAAAGAATCTTCATTCACACATTATCTTTTTTTTTATTTTATAAATTGATGATTCTGGTTATAATGATAATGGTGACATTTCTTTTCCAAAATCTACTAATGGAAAAAAATTAACCAGAAAAAATTATATTTAAATATAGTTCAAATGGCTTGGATCGTTTGTTTCTAAGAAGAAATAATCTCCAAGAACTATTTATTTTTTCTTTTATATAAGAGTAATTAACAATAATGTTGACCACTGCTGTCGACCATGATCATCAATTGGATTGTTGTGTTGTTTTGTGTTGACAAACTGATCCCATTTGTTTTTCGTTTTATTTTAGTCTATTTATCGTCTAAATTACATCAATTTTCTTATTTCTTTTTCTTTTGTTTTTACTTAAAAGATGAACAAAATAAAGAAAAAAATCGAATAGAATTACCATCCATTAAGATCGTCGATAGTCGATCGATTTCATTTTCGTTTCAATGATGGTCATTATAATAGTGATTAATAACTCATTACTAAGTCAATACAGTTTTTTTTCCACAAAATAAAAATGTTCCAAACAACATTGTCTTCGAAAAGTTTCATTGTTTGTGTTTGGTTTGTTTTTTCATCATCATCATCATCTCGTTTGCATTTTTGTAGTTTTTCCTGTTGTTACTTGGCAATAATGGAATGTAATGTAAATAACTTTTTTTTCTGAATAATATCATTTGTTTGTTTGTTTGTTTGCGTTGGAAAAAAAATGGGAAAAACCAATGATGACAATAAATGCATTGATCACATTTTCAATATAATGAAAATTTCATCTAAATTTAGATGCAATAAATTGTTTATTTATTTTCAAAATTCCAATATAAATGAATTGTAATTCAACATGAAGATCTTCAATTGGTTATTATCTGGCGAAATAGTTTTAATTTTGTTATCTAAATTGATGAAAATAGCCATATTGATAATCATTTTTAAAACATGAAGCTAATAATAATAATAATGGAAATTAAGTGAAAAAAAATCCTATTATTGTTTTAGATTTGAAACAAAGCAAAAAACTATGAACAAATCATGCCTTGAATTGTTTGCTGTGTAGCATTTTACATTGACAAGGAATTCGACCACCTTGATCAAGAAAAAAACACCACCAACACCTTATTATTAAAAACATTAAAAAAACAATGAAAAAAAAGGTCGAATAAAAATGATTCGAATCGAATTCTCTCTTTCTAAGTACGTTTGTGTAAATGCAAAAAGCAATCGATTTTCTTTTTTTGTTTGTTTGTTTTTTGAATTTTCTCCATAAACAATTACATTTGTGTGTGTGTACCATTAGGCTAAATTATCGTGCCAGGTACAGGTATTGTTGATGATAATGTTTTTTGTATTTTTGGATGTTGTTGTTTGATTTTGAATGAAATGAAATGTTTATTTATGGTGACCACAGTTGGTGATTCACGAATCAACCAACTGAAATATTACGCTTGAATGTTTATTTATCATTGAATTATTATTATTATACACCTCGTTAATCAATTAGACATTAATCAAAGACAATCCATCATCACAATTTAGAATTGAAAAGGTCGTTTCTTGCAATTTAATGCCAATTCATGAATAATTCGTCAATTTTATCGTCGATTCAAAATCAATTTTCCTATTCGATTTTTTTTATGGTAATCGTATTGATTATATCGATTGAATCATAGCAAAAAAAAAAATTCAATTTGTTTGGAGGCGAAAAATAAAGATTTTAGTTTTTTTTCGTTGTCTGGATTTTTTTCCAATTATAAATTAAAATTTTCATTTGTCATCTGGTTTTTCTTTTTGTTCATTCTTTTTTTTAAACACGAATCCAAATATGAATGTAATGTAATCCGAGAACAAGGTCATCAAGAAATTTATCGAAGAAAATGAATTTATATTTAGAGAATTTTAAAGATTTTTCATGTTCAAAACATTTATTAGAATTAAATTTTTTTTTTGACATTTTTTTGTAGTTTATGTTTCAAATTTCAAAGAAGATTCTTGCTTCATTTTTTTCGAAGCTTACAAAAAATTATCTGGATAATCCAGATGTAAGAATTTCATTTCAATTAAATTTTTTATTGCATTTTTTATGAATTGTGAAAAAATAACATTTTAAAGAAAAAGAATATAGAATCAATTATTCGGAATAATTTTGTCATTAATTTTGAGTTGAATGTGATAAGTTTTTTTATAATGAAGAATGAAGAATTAAGAATGATTTATCCACGATATTTTCCGCCACCACCACCACCACCACCGCCGCCTTTTCGGTAACCACCGCCGCCTCCACCTTTTCGGTAACCTCCTCCACCACCACCACCATAGCTCATCATTTTGCCACCACCGCCGCCACCACCTTTACGATAACCGCCTCCGCCGCCGCCACCACCACCATGTCGCATGGCAGCAGAAACAGCAGTAGCTAAAACAGCAACAAAGACAATGATGAAGATCAATTTCATTTTTTTCGGGATTATTTCGGGTTCAGATGATTAGATCACTAAAAACAATAAGTTTTTTTAAAGATGATTTTTTTGTTCTTAGTTAGATGATTGAAGACTGTTGATTGTTGATACTTTCTAACCATTGTTCGTGGTGTTTATATACTGATGAAAAATCGTCTTTATCGATAATTATCACATCATAATCTTATCAGTTTCACTAATTTTTTAAAATTTTTAGACTTAATTTTTTTAAAATCCTTTAAATTAATTACCTGAAGTTTTTTTTACTATTGTTTGTGCATTAGTTTTTCTTTGTTGTTGAATGGCCATGCAAAGATGATTTACCTGAAAATCTTTAGAAATAAACATGGCCAATGATGACAATGGGGAAAATCACAGGGCCACATTTCAATGTATATGTATGTGCAAGTGTTCCATTTTGATGCTAATTAATGCTCGATGGAAAAAAAATTGATGGCAATGAGCAATGTCATTACACTTTTGGAAATTTTATATTGCGGTGTTTATGGGAAAATACAAATAAATAAATTGCACAGATGTAAGCGTATTTTTTAAACAAAAAAAAAAAAAAAAAATCAAAGTACATTGTTATCATCACGTTTTACGAAAAAAATTAAGGTGATAGAATTGAAGGAAATCAAAAGAAAAAAGTCGATCATGTTTATCATAAGAATGGTATATTACCTGTCCTAAATGAATTGCTTCTGATTTAATACTTGTTATTCAAAATGATGTAGTTTTTTTCCAAAGAAATGAAGGTTAACTAGCCATTGATGATGATTATTTGTTGTTCAGACTATAGTTGAATGAATACTTTGGCATTCTAACTACTCTCCCTCATAATAATGATAATAATTATTTTTCTTTTTTTCTATGTTCTTTATATTTATGTATTTGTTTTTTTACCTTGAGATTTTGTTACTTATTCATTTTGTATTCAATTTGATCGAAACAAAATGATTAGATCGTTGCAATAAATTTAGTCGTCTGTTTAATTCATTGTTGATGTTGTTGTTGTTGTTCTATTTTGTTTTTGTGCAAACAAAATGATGACGCTAACAAAATGATGGTGATAATTTTGACTATAAATAGAGATCGCAGAATTTGATTCAAACTCATCGAAACAATTTTGAAATCAACTTTTAATTCAACAAAACAATCCCCAAACAAAACTCAACGAAAATGAAAGCCATCTTTGCTTTGATGTTTTTCGCCGTCTTGGCTTTAGCTGCTGCCCAATACGGTGGTTATGGTCGTGGTTATGGCGGTTAGTATCTAAAATTATTTTAGTTAAACCAAAATCATGATCATTTTCAATTCTTTTCGATTTTCCAGGTTATGGCGGTGGATATGGCGGATATGGTCGTGGTATTGGTTATGCTGCTCCAATCTACGGTGGTTATGGCCGAGGCTATGGTGGTAAATATTTTTCATTATCATAATCGATGATCATTTTCAATTAATTCATATTTTTCAGGTTATGGTGCCGGATATGGTGGCTTAGGATATGGTCGAGGCTATGGTGGTAAGTTCTTTATCTAATTATACTAATTGAACTTAAATCATAACTGACCAATGTATAATTAATTTTCTATTTTCCAGGTTATGGCGCCGGATATGGTGGCTTAGGATATGGTCGAGGTTATGGTGGTAAGTTCTTTATCCAATTATTATCATTTGTTGAACTGAAATCATCACTGACCATTTTCAATTATTTTCTATCTTTGCAGGTTATGGCCGAGGTTATGGTTATTATGGTTAAACCAAAAATCATTTATATTTGAATTTTCTGAAATCCATTCTTGTCCATAATTATATATTTGCCATTAAAAAAATAAATGTTTGAATAAAATCAGATTTGTTTTTGGTTTTTTTTCAATCAACAAAAAAAAATGTTTTGTTTATTTTATTATTCTTATTTCTTTCACAAAAAACTTCCGGTATTTTGATTTCGATTCAATGAAATCAAATTGAAGTTGCGAAATTGAATGTCCATGTCCATTGTACATTGTATGCAAGATTGATGAATGAAGGTCAAGTTCAAATATCTATGACTATGGATAGATAGAATCACCATATAATTATGAATCATTGAAAGCATTAATGGTGGATCAATTAATGGAAGTTAGTTGATAATAATTTTAATGAAGAAAAAAATTACCACCAATTTTCATTTTGAAAAATATTTTTAATTATCATTTTCTAATTGCACATAAATGATGACAAATTCAATATTGTATTTGATATTAGGATTTCCTTGAATTATCGATTATGATTGACAATTGATTGATATGGCATTGTTTTTATTGTATTGATTGTCATCATCATCATCATCATAATTGACGAAAAATGATTTTTTTTTGACTAGCCGTAGGCGTATGTTGAAAAATAATAATTATCATCACATAGCTAATCATTCCGTGTGTATGTGTGTAGGTCTATGTCAGATTAATTACAATTTTCCAGTTTGTGAAATTGGAATTTATTTAATTTGTTTGTAACAAATTATCATTCCTTATAACTTTTGAATAGCAATAATAGAAACGACTTTAATCCTGAAAATTCTAACATAAAGGTTTATAATGGCTTTTATTTTGTAATTTTAATAAATTCTTCATTTTATATTAACATAATTAACCATTTTTTTCGGCTACATAATCCTTGAATTCATTACTTTTAGTTTTGGCTTTTTTTTACAAGAATTCATTATATGAAAATCTAATGAAATCAACAACAAATATGTATGGAACGTCAATGAAATGATGATTAACTATTATAATAGCGACGACAACAACAGCAACAATGAACTTCATCAATTCATAGAATAGTTGTTGGAATTTTAGTTTTACCAGGTTTTTTGTTGTTGTCTGTTGTTCTGTTTCATCAATTCGATCCTGGTTTTTTTTTGTTTCCTTTACATTGTTCATTCATAGTCCGATTAGATAACTTTTATCCTCATGTTTTCATTATATTCATGTTGATCGGTTTGTTTGTTGATTCCATTGAACAGATGTTTACAAGTTTGTTTTTGGTTGTAGTTTCATTGTCCACAGTGTATAGTTTATTATTATAAGCCCCATGTGATTAAAATGCATCAAAAAAAATGTGATATACTCACAGATTCTTTAAATCGGTTGTTGTTATTGTTGTCCATTCATTTTTTTAAATAGAAGTATCGAAAGACCCAAGAGATTGATGTTCAGAGATCGGTCAATTTCATTATCCAGAAAAACGTTCGACTTTTCATCACTTACATGAATATGAATGTATCTGATGAATCAAACATCATGGTTGAATCAAAATAGTAAATCCTCATGTTTATTTCAGATTTTCAGTTCGAAAAAAACAAAACAAAAATTCTACATAATAGTAAATTATCACACCGAAAAAAAAGCTAAACTACAAAAAATTCAAATTTAGAAAAAATTTTAAGATTTATTGTTTTACGCACGAACAAACAAACACACACACAGTACAGGAACAAGATTTTTTTCCAGTTTCTGGACCAAAGATAAATTTGGTCATCGTAGCGAAAACAAAAAAAAAAGAGAGTGAATATATCTCCATGGCAGTAATTTGGATGGATAAAAACATTGCGTAAACATTGCGATTCATTTATTGAAGCTTATTAATACTGGAATGAATATTTTTCTCCGAAAAAAAATCATTCAAATCCAATTTATAATTTGTTTCATGATTTGAATGAATGAATGAATCCCCCTCTCTCCCGAAAAAAAATAAATAAATAAACAAGGCAATTTAATTCCTTGAAATCAAAATCAAAATAATGACAGAATCGAGACTGAATTCTATTCTGGCTCATTCTATGTCATTTCATTTTGCGATTGAAAATTTAAATTTCTTTTTCTTTCTTTCTTTCTCCAAAATTTGTATGAACCAAACAGAGAAAAAAAAAACAAAACTGTCAAAATGTATTATTTAAATTTTACAATTTCGAATGAAAAAAAGGGGAAAAAAGAAAATCCGAAAGTATGATTCATTTGATCTCTTTCTTTCTCTCTCTCTCACTATTTTAACCGAGGCCAAACTGTTCAATTCCGTTGGCATGTCAAATCGACAATGGTTATGTCAAATCGGGTACAAAAAAATAAAATTGACTGAATTTTTTTCGTCTTTGAAAATTCTGTTTTCCCTTACTAAATTGAGATCTGTCCATCAATTGTCTTGAACTTGAAACTTTTTATTCGAACTGAATCGATCATTTTGATTCGTATTTTTTTCCTCCCCAATGTCCTTTTTTTTAATTCAACCCAACAGATGTTTACTTTGGCCTAAACCAAAATCGGGGTTGAAAAAAAACAAAATTTTCGGCACATTTGATGAGATTTAGAATCTATCATATAAAAGTGAACAATTTCGTTTTTTTTCCAATTTTCATATAGAAATCTAAAGATGCAATCTAGCGTAAACATCCGAGTTTTTTGTTTGTTTGTTTGTACACCAAATACAATATGACAATTTTTGTTATGATGTAACAATACTATTATTCATATTGATTTGTTCCATTGATGAATTGAAAAGAAAAATTTTATATTTTATTCAACTATGTCCAGCATGTTTCTGTGTGTGTTGTATAGGTTATCGGGTTTTTTTTTCCTTAATGTCCTTTTCAATATCAATAATAATGCACACTTACATAACAAAACGTTATATGTACAAAACGAAAAACGAAAAATTTCGAAAACAAAATCAAAACCAAAATGGAACATGTGACATTTCTCTCTCTCTCTTTTTTGTTCTATTCGGAAGTAACATCAGTTGAATATCTCGAAATAGAAATGGACATAAATGGAAATGCTAAACAAGAATATTAAAAGGGAGAGAAAAAAAAGTGCCAATGTATTTTTTTTTATCATAAACAAAACGAGTGTCTTTGTCATTTTCAAGTGTGATAATGGATATCAAATATTTTTTGGTTTTTCTCTGCATTTTATTTGTTATCCATTTTTTTTATATTCTTGCTATACTAACTGAAAATGACCAATAGTTTTGTTTTCGGATGTATAACCGAATCGATTCAAGTGATTTGATTATAATTAATTTAGTTGGACAGGCAACAAACAAAAAAAAAATTGATGATTATTTCAACACCCCAATGATTAAACATTATACTAACTTTGTTGATGAAAATGACAGTTTGAAGTATAAAATCATCATTATCAACACTATCGTTATCGACCAGAAAAAGAATCATTATAAACACTCACATATATCCCGTCTTATATTTAAAAAAAATAGATAGATAAATTATATGAAACTTACGATTCGATTCGAATAAAATAGATGCACATTTCATGCATCCATGATTCATAAGCGCGCTCGATCAACAACAACAATAATGCTAATTTACTTTTCATCACCAGTATTGGCTATTATATCAAGGCCATTCATAATCGATGATGATAAAGTTGATAGGACAAAAAAATGGAATATTGTGGTGTTGTGAATGTAATACAATTTTAGTTTTTTTTTATTATATCGAATAATTGGATCATTGAACCATTATGGATCAACCATGCATTCGGGTATCTTTGGATCTTAAAATGGACATTATATATTGAGATGTGACATTCACAACAACCAACAACAACAACAATTCGTTGCTAAAGTCGTGTGGTTGATTCACCATACGAACGAAGAAAAATTGCAGAGAATGATCGTTATGTTCATTGCAACGGTTTATCATGATGATGATGAACAATGGAACAAATTATTTGACAAGTATAGCGAATTACGATTTGAAACACTTGGATGATTATTCCTATTTATCTATTCGATGATGTAGATCCTGTTATCGAAATGATATTGAGAAACCGATTTTTTTTTGTTGTTGAATGAATTGAATGAATTTAAATGGATTCATCAAAACGAACCAAGATTCAAACCAAAACCGCATAGAATATTTTTTGAAAAAAAATCTAATTCAATAGTATTCCGTTTCACAATTTTCAATGAAAAAATCTCCCAAGGTTGAATGCGTATGTGTGTGTGAAAGAGAGAATCATTTGTGAGAAATATTCGGCTTCGGATTATGGTCACCCCGAAACAAGGATCAAACATCATCATCAAAATGAATGAATAAAAGTAAATTTTCATGTCCGTTTTCACTGTATGCATGTATGTGATGTATGTTTGATATTAATAATAATAATTTGGACACGAGGCTTTTTTTTCACAATTAGTCATCGTTTCTGTTCAAATGAAACCATCAGAGATTCAGTATACAGAAAATTTTTTTTTATAAATGAGATTATTCTATTATTAATTATTGAAATAGAATTCATTTTGAACATCGTTCTACTTTATTGTGGATCCATTTATTTGATCATCATGTTTTTTGTCAACGGTAATTTTTTTTTGTTATGTAATTGAACTTGTTCCAAATAAAAATATCCACATTGACCAAAATAGACAAACACTGTGTGTGTGTGTTTGTGTTTCATCATATCACAACACATAAATCATTGAGTCAAAACTCTAAACAAAGAATAAGTATAGGAAAAAAGTCAAGATATGTTTGACAAATATTATTATTGAGTCTCAATAATATTTTGACACAAGCTTATACAGAAACCAGAGTACCATACAGTAAACAATGATCCAAAATATTTTGTCAATGGATTAATCCAAAAAATTTTTTACTTTCGACTATTTATACTCGTAAACTCTTTGTAAACAAACAGCAAAAAAAAATGAACTATAGAAGAGTAGAAAATAGTCTTAATTGGATTGAAACGTTTTGGTTGTTGTCGTTGTTATTATTGTGTTATTAATGATGATAATTTAACCAACGAATTATATTGGTC